CCCCCCCCCCCGCCTCGGCATATGCCCCCATGGCCGGGGACCAGCCCCTGCCTCTCCCACTGCTCCGCAGCGCCCAGCTGGTCCAGGAAGGATTCACCAGGTACCAGTATGGGATGCCCCATCCCAGCCTCAGCCCTGGGGCCAGGCGCAGTGCTGCCACCCATCCACTCCCTGCCATGCACCGGGCTGTGGGCTCAGCAGCCACAGCCCAATAGGGCCCAGCAGCACCGTGCAGCAAGACCCAGCACCTTTGTCGTTCCCCTTTCCTCCTAGCATGCCCCTTCCCAGCATGGGGACATCTTTCCCTCCTGCGCACAGCCTCCGGGCAGGAGTCACCTCTCCTCCAGCCTGCCTCTGCCCATGGCAGGGCTACCTCTCTGTTTCAGTCCTGCCTGATGGGATTACAGAAATCATTTGAAACGGGGCATGGATTTGGGTCCTGCTGGATGTGTCTGGTCTCTGCATCTCTCTGCCATAGCCAGGGCAGCGTCAGGCATGATGCCTGATCAAAGAGGAGGACGTGCAGTTACCAGCAGACACCTGCACACTTTCCGACCCGGGCAAGGGGAGCTGGGCTCTGCCTCCCTCCCGCTGCCAGAACTGCAACCCAGACCCTACCCAGGCTCTGCAGAGCAGCCACTGCTTCCCGTTTAAGATGCTTGTGCAGCAGCATGTGAAGGGCAGGCATTTATTTCGGCTCTCCTGCACACCACCAGCACGTGCACTGAGTCGGTGAACATGCAGCCGCAGGGACATCCCTGCACCTCAGTGTAGGTTGGGCTTCATCTGCCCCAGCACTTTCTGGCTGCTGCTGCAGGGCAGGTTGGAGCTTTCCTGCCTCTCCTGCCCCACTCCCTCTCTAAGGGACTGCTTGCTGGTGGTCAGCAGCTTGACTGATGTTGTTGCTGGCCTGTTATACGCAGGGTGAGCTGCACGCTGCCACCCTCTACACCCTTGAGTGGACAACATGGTCCAGCACCCTGTGGGATGGATGCCATGCCCACCAGGGTTCATCAGTGCTGAGAAGCATCTTGAAGGGACCCCTGGACTGGTGCCGGGCTGCCCCGCAGCAGGCAGGGCTCCAGGCATGGCTCCCTGTGTCCTGCTGCCCAGCAAAACCAGCCCAGGACAGGGTCATGGTGCACAGCTGCAGTGGTGCCTTGTGACCCGCTCCCACCAGAGGCACTGCACAGGGAGGACTGGGCACTCATGGAGCTGCTCCACTCCTGGCTTCAGCTGCTTGAGTGGGTAGTGATCGATTTTCTTGCACAACACCAGCTCTGACAGTGCCTGACAAACTGCTTTTGCCTGAGGCACGGTCTGTTGGGACCACCTGTGCCAGGCTGCTGGGTGGGGTGGGTGTATGGGGCACAACCTGCTCCTGCCCCACCCATCACCCCACTGTGCCAAGCTTTGTGCAACCTCAGGCTTCTCCCCATGCGCTGGGCACACTCCGTACAGCATCACCTGCACACGCTGCCCACGGACCGTGCCCAGACACCCCTTGGGGCTGGCCCCCAGCTCCAGGGAGCCCAGCATTAAACACACACAACCCACCCCAGACTGGTGGTCACAGCAGGGCAGCTGCATGCATTACTCAATGGGCAATGTGTAATAAAATCCCCCCAGTCGCCTCTGGCTCTGTCACAAGCAGCATTTAGCCACGACTTGGAGAAGGAGCAGAAGGGCTGGAAACTGTCAGACCTGCTTAAAACCGCCACGGCTCAGTGCTAACGTGCAGCACAGCAGCAGTGGCTGCAAGGCACGCAGCCAGGCTGGGCAGAGCACAGCTCCCCAAACATACCCCATGCTGTGACCAGGTCTTGCCCCAGTCCCGTCTCCCCGCAGCCTCCTGCACCTGCTGGAAACCTCTGGGCAGCCAGAGGGTCTTGGACACTGGCAGCCCTGGGTCTGTCACCATGATGGAGCTCTGGAGTCCTGCTCATCCCATGCAGACCCGGCCTGCCAAGCAGCTGGCATGGCTGGGGGGAGCCTTTTACAGAAGGGAAGAACAGGGGCAGCCCCATTGCTGGGCCATGCAATTAAGCAGGGTCCCCTGGCAGCAGGCATCTGGCCCCAGGGAGGGACAAGTTGTCCCCTTTACCCCAGGGAGGCAGGGTGGTCCCTGGGGCGCTTTCACCAGACCCCAGGGGCCCTGAAGGGCACAAAGTAGGTGGTCAGAACCAGACTCTGTGCTCTCCTGCTGCAGCACTCCAACCCTGCCATAGCTACCATGCAAGTGGCACCCCACTGCACTCCTACCCGGAGCCACCCAGGAAAGCTGTGCTGCCTTCCACTGCCCCGCTCTGACACCAGCTGCTGCAGAGCTGCCCTCCTCCCATCTCCGGCACAGCAGCGATGCAGAAGGCAGCATCCAAGATGCTGCTTGGCAGAGGCTCAGCTGCCTCCCAGGGCCGGCAGAAGAGGGGGCCATGGCTGTATACACTTGTTCTGCCCAGAGACAGTGCCCAGCTTCCCCAGGCTGTGGCTCTACTGGCCCCAGAGCACTCCTTGGCCACACCCCAGGCAGGATGGGGGGCAGCACAGCCCTCCTCCTGCCCCAGCCATGGGTCCCTCAGAGCAGGGGCCAGCTGGCACAGCCATGGCTATGAGCAGGGCTTCCACCTCTGGGGTCACCCAGCACAGGCTGTGGGCAAGCAGAGTCCTTAGCACCAGCCTCCCCTGGGGCATGAGGGGATAGGGGACCAGACAGGCTGCTCCCCAGCCTGATCCTCATGGAAGGGGACAAGCAGGGACGCACAGAGGAAGCAGTGCTGCACACACATCTGTCTGTTCTCATTAACGAGGGAGTCCATCTCCATCAGGTCTGGCCAGCAACACCTTCCAACCAACCTGCAACAATATGGCAGGAGCCTGGCACAGGTGCAAGGGCAGTGCAGTTTGGGGATGAGCAGGGCACAAGGTAGGTGCCAGGCAGCCCACACAGCTGCCCCCTGAAAGCAGCCACACACCTGCTCCTGGGGAGGAAAGGGCTCAGCTCCAGTTCTTGGGGCAGCCAGCACATGGGGCAGTGCCCTGGGTCACCGACATCCCTCACAGTAGTGTGAGCACAGCTGAGACTTTCCTCTCCATGTCCTAAGCTTGCCTTCTTACTACGGCCTATGAATTCCCTGTGAGCCTCACCATATCCCACACAGATGAGACAGAAGGAAGACATTGGTCAAGAAAAGCTACCAGAGGGACCACAGCTCAAAATGGTCCACAAGCAAATTGCTGGGGAAGAACCAAAGAGAGAAGAAAGATGCTGGGGCTGGCAG